CCCGATTAAAAATGATAGACCGTCTAAGGAGGTTTCCGGTTACAAAGCTGCTTTCCTCCCTTCTGCTACTCGTCCGCTCTTGATTCGCGAGTGAAGAAAAAGTGCCGGCATGAGTACGAATGGTTCTCAGCAAGAGTGATGTTGAGGATCGCTCCTACTTTCAAAAGCATCGCAATTCGTCACTCATTATTTACATCCGCCCACTCGTACATTTAAAATTACAGATTTTGTTTTAATTTAATAGTTAAGAGAAACTTAGTTGTTCAAATACGTTTCATATTGCGCTTCGCAAAACAATGTCTTTCAGCGTTATGCAATGCGCTATTACTTGATGTCGCTTTTAGAATAACCGAATTCAAATAGATAGAGACTAATATTATATTGCGCGACTGTGAAATCATACATAGTTATACACTGCATTGTGAATGAATATGCACGCCGATCAAAATCCCGCTCCTACGTTCTGAAGCAAACGTCTGACGACCTTTCACCAGATTGGCATGAGACGCGATAAACTCCTCGGGACGTACCGCGACAGGGAATTGAATTTGCGTGCACGCGTAGGACCGATCTTCGCACCGGAGGAAAAAAAAGGCAAAGCCAGAGAGGCAATGCGCGAATATCGAGGAGAGACAGGCGGAAAACGACCAACCGTACCGACAAACGGTTGGTAGATTGATTTTGCCAGGCGTGCACCCTCCCGCCACCCTTTCAATACGACCGAGAGGGATGCGTTCGATCCCATCTCGGGTTATTAATAATATCTGGAGGTTAGTATTTCTCCGAGAGCGAAGCGGTCGGTGTTACGGTGGCGGAGACGCGCGGAGGAGGTAAGAGTCTGAGGCTAAGAGGAAATGGGAGATCTCTTCATTTCTGTATCACGCGAACGAACGAACGAACGAACGAACCGACCCGGCGCAGAGCGTCGAGGCCACAGATGGAAATACCCGATTTATATGCAAATTCCATATTTGTCGCCGCGAGAGGCGTCGGCCGTCGCGCCGCGCTGCGTCGTCCTTGCTCGAAAGAAGCCATGACGGGAAGTGCAAGTCTTCCATGCGCGGGAGATCCATGTAAAAGAAATGCAGTTAACCTAAATGTCGATTTATTTTAAGGCTCACCAATATTCTATAATCTATATCATGAAGTGAAAATTACTTCTTCGAAAAATCATTTTATTTATATTTCAATTAATTTTTATACGTAGTCTTTAATATACTGCATTATTCCTTAATTACTATTTTTATTTATTATTCCATTATTTTCATTATAGTCTGTAAATTAATATGCATAATTTTATGAAAATTTTAAAGCAATAAAAAATGAATTTGTTTTAAAATAAACAAGCTTATTTTTTTAGTTATTTGCGATTGTATAAAGTACACTCTTTAATATTTCGTTATTCTTAATACGATTATTTTTATTTAATATTCCATTATTTTTATTACAATCTGTAAATTAAAACGTGTAAGTTAATGCAAAATTTAAAATAATACCTGCTTTAAAATAGATAAACTCATTTATCTATTTATTCATCTGAAGGAACGTCTGTGGTTAGATAGTATCCTATCTATTCGTTGTTTAGTTATAGCAACTGTCGTTTACAAAATCTCGTTAACGTCAGAATATGGATTTCCTTTCAAGGGTGCATGGGGCAGCAAATTATCGAGCGGCCTTTCTTCGACCCTCACAGGCCCGCGATATCGTTAATAAACCCAACGTCCCTGGGTCTTTCCCGTCTAATCACCCCTCCTTTTTTTTTCTTTCGACCTCCCCTTCTTATTTTCCTTCATTTTTCTCTTTTTTTTTTAAGCAACATCCGAGAGACACTTGCATATTTGATATGCCGTGTAAACGGCTGAATAAATGCGTGCTGTTCATGTATTATTGATGCACACGTGCTAGATTAAAAATAGTAGTTTACTACTAAATCCAAAAAGAACGATGAGAAGATTGAGAATAGATTAACAATGGTTAGAACAATTTAACACGCAGACTAAACTTTATGTCCACAAAAAAGTTACGAGTTAAATTTTTTGCTCTAAGCATGCGTTTTTTTTATTTCACTCATTATTTTACGTGTTTGTTATCGAATTAAAAACAATTTTTTTAATATAGAGGAATGTTTATATTGCGCGATTTTTTCTAAAATTTAACGGATTTTTTCAAATAGGATAATCTTGTGCGAGACAATAATTGCTTAATAAGGCAAGGCTTCAACAAAACCTGTTTATAATCTTATCTCTGTCGACATGTAGTCCTTTGAAGTACAGGTTTCGCGTGCGAACGTAGAAAGAGTACGTCGTCATCCGAGATTTTTCGGAAGCAAAATTAAAATTCTTCTGCGTCGATGAGCCTGAGAACGGATGAGGGGGAGAAGCGCGCGCGGTTGTGTTCTCGAGAGGAAACCGCGAAAAGAATTTTCCCGAGATAAGCGACTTCGAGGAGGGAGTGGGAAAGCACCGTCGGGACATTCCGGGAAAAATGATTATACGAAGTTGGAAAAACTTTGGTACGCCGGAGAGATAGAAAGAGAGAGGGAAGAGAAAGGGATGCATATAGTAGCGGAGACGAAGCAGCAGTTTCTCGCGATGTCACCGTTGCGTGCTCATTTATCCTGGAACCGTTTCCGTTGGGATATTTTCGCAATGTCAAATTGTTGGTTAAGCCTTGGGTAGGTTTACATCTCCAAGTCGTAGAACAATTTTGTCTGAATTTCGTAGCAGACACGGATTAATGTGTATTATGTTTTTAGAGAATTCTAAAATACATAATAATTTTTTATGTTTTTGATCGCTGTTAGTAATTTTTTGCGCATTTCTAAACATTTTGTCAAATGTTATGAAATCTAAGCACACAAACGATATTTATATACATAAGAAAACAAATTGTACAATATAATTGCCTAATTTAACGATATGTTTAAAAACTAGTAATTTAAAAAAATTATTAATCACAAATACGTATCGAATAAACAAAATGTGATTCTTTTAAGGGGATCCTAAAGTTTAGTCAAATTGTAAATAGCACAGACGATTTACGTGTCATTGACACATTCCCTACATATTATACTATACATCAATATCTGACGCACACGTGCATATAAATTGTTGTAACAATAACGTTTTAATTAGACGTCTAAATCCAATTCTAAAAACCCTACGTTGTTTCTTCGTGCAAACTATTAGTCTGTAGACTACTATTTTGTAAGTATAATTTGTACAACTTTTATACGAAGCAAATGTTGTCACGATGTGACAAGTCTAGACCGCCATATTGAACTAAGAAATGGTAAGGAAGATTTCAGTTTTGAAATTTTTTCGCGTTCTCGGCATAAACTCCATCTTACAGACACATATTATTATGATACGTATACTTTAATCTTGGAAAAGAATTTTCGAATCAGTAAAAGAGGATAAAAGTAATTGTTATGAAAAAATTATTGCGTTTAGTCGATAATACATACGACTTTAGGATCCCCTTAAGAGAAATTATTTTAGCATCTCTATGTGTTAGTACAAATATTATAAATTTTTTACACGCACTTCCTAATACACACCACATTAACAAATATCAATTACAAGAAAGTAATAATAAATATCTGTATGATTGCACGTGAAAGAGAAGAATTTCTCTTTTTCTTGTGTGCCTTTTTCGGAAGAAAGACTGATCTCGCGGAATTTTTCACAAGACATAAAGTTATCGCGATAACCCGAACCTGCCAACATCAACGAATTGTCAAATGTGCGCGTATATTCTCAAGGGATTACCGAGATCCGTTAAGTCGCGGTTACATCTGTTCTCGAGCGTAGAAGACTGAACGGAAGAGGACAGAACGGAGGGTTCTCAATTGCCTTATTTATATTTGTCCCAATCACACCATCGCCACGCGCGCGGATTTTTCGTTTAGCCCTCTCGCAGAATGTCCTCCTCGTTCGTCGTAGACGTCGCGGAAGGGTAAGACGGGACGACGTGATAAATTACCGCGTGTCAAAGCCTCGGCGTGCATTCATTTGCACGGCGTTAGCACTGTCATTGGCACCATTCCTCATTCGCGCGCTCGTTACGAGCGACGCGCTTCTTCGTTACATCGCGAAGTCACGAGATAATTTCGATAAGTTTCTCACGGAAAAGTCCATCAATAATATGATCCCTCTACACTTACTTTCTGAATTAACGGCTGTTGAAGGTGATGTCGAAATCAGCTGCGATTAAATTGGACTTTATTTTAAATACCTATCTTATAAAAAAACTCGCTTAAGTAATACTTGAGTACGATATATAAATAGATATTTTCTTTATAATTAAAATAATTCGAGAAATTAAGAAATTAAGAAATTTTAAATAATAGAGTTTAAAATCGGTAGGAAAATAATTTAACGTTGAATATCTAAAAGAATGTAAGAATTAAACCACGCACTTCAATCGTGTCATTTGCGACGTCCAGGCGAACAGTTTCGTGTGTTGGCTGTTCCTTTTTCAACTTTACCGAACAATTCTCGACTCAGACGATAGGACGCAGAAGGTAGAGTATTTAGAGATCGGGGTATACCGGACAACTCCCTTGATGCCGGACCGTGGTCTCGTCGGAGATAATAGGAGCTCGAAAGTTTTCGAGTTTGCAACTTTCTCCTTTTCGACGCAATCTCGCCGGGATTTTTTCCTTCTCTCTCTCTCTCTCTCTCTCTCTCTCTCTCTCTCTCTCTCTCTCTCTCTCTCTCTCCCCCTCCCCCCCCCCCCCCCCGCGCACGAAACTCTCTCTCTCTCTCTCTCTCTCTCTCTCTCCATCCCCGCTGACGCGACGTCGAACAAAATTCGTGAGGGTTATTTCCCTCTATTCGCACGATTCTCTTCTTTTTACCTTCTCTCTTTCGCATTTCTGCCATTTCTCTCCTTCTTGCTCTCTTTATTTTCTTCTCATTCTCACACGAGCCCGTCAGCTCTTTTACATCTGTGTTGCATACCATGTGCTCCTGTAAGTATAAGATATACGGTTGTAGATACTACGAGATTTGTGGTCGCTGTGGCGCACGGCCGAAGGCAGGCCGCTTTCAGGTGGAGATTGCGTTTTGACGTCTGATAGATTCATGGTTATTGGAATCAGAATGGTACTATTACGGTGCGAGAAACGGGACGAGGCGATGTTAGTCGCCTCGAGCGAAGTCGCGTAAATCAACCGGTTCTACTAGAATTCTGTTTTGGGAGTCTCACCACACATGGGATTCCTTTTTCCTTCATCTCGATACATTCCTATCTAAATTTCAAAATTTCAAAATCAGATTGCATTATATATGTCATTTCACAGATCAATCTACATTCTTTGAATTTATACATAAAGGAACTGTTTTACTGAAGTATATATATCCATAACTTAACTAGATATAGATCTAAAAATAATTATGTTTAAATCATCGAAGTAATTATTTATGTAGGGCATACAAACTGGTTGCCAGAATGTCAAAACTTTTTGCAGCGTTACTCATCCTGCTTGAGAGAGAGACCTACAAAATTATTTTAATAGTTCAACAAAATTATTTTCAGATTACACAGAACTAGTTAAATTTTAAAATACTTTAGCAAAACCGTTCTTTCTGTGTAAAATATCATCCACAAATGTATTCTTCATGTAAAACATTAAATGTAAATTAATTAACATTAAATTATTCATATCAGCAATATGTTTGCTAAAGACATGCACTAAAAGTATTTATTAAGAAAAAATGATAAAAATGAATGCATAGCAATACTTGCATAATTTAAAGGAGCAGTATTATACTAACTTACGTGTATACTGACTTATTATACTTACCAATTTTAATTTCTTTTCATATGTTTAATAAATTTTAAAAGTTCGCGTTGTTATATAAATGTTAAAACTTTATTCTGCGGAAAAGTCGCTTGCAAACGGGAGAGGGTGGAGTAAGGCTGCGCTTTGACATTGACGAAGTAGACCCGTAGACGGTGTGGGAAATGTCGCTAATGTCGTAACCGAGTGTCATCGTGCACCCTCCTGGAGCATCGGAACTCTGCAAGGAGTGGATGGAGAGGTGGGTGACGGGAACGCGGAAGGGGATGCTGAGAGATATATCGTCGCTTGGGACAACCAAGGAGGAACTGGAGGTTGATGGCTCGAGGACGGGCTGGTTATCTTTTGCCTGTAGGTGCAACGACGTAGCTAACGCTAGAGAGAAGACGAGCTTTACTGTCTGCAAGAAAGACTGCCGTCTATTCTTGACGACAAAGCCTTAGTCGCCTACTGGTGTTCTTTTTAGTCAACAAAACTTTATACAGTCCGTCATAAAACGTAAAGGGAGAATGATAATAGTTTTGTTTCTTTTTGTCGTTTTTCAGAAGTATACAACAATGTTGTTTAGATTCAATTTCAAATTTAGTCAAACGAGTAATTATAGTGAGTCTGTTATATAGTTTGTTACATAATAATCGGTTATTATTTATAATATCGAACCACAAAAGTACATTTTCTGATAGATAAACTTTGTAATGAATTTTCAGAAATGTTTTACGTTTTTTAGAGATTCAGACAATCTTCTCGATATTATTCTTTGTGTCTAGTGTCCCGAAGGGTAGCCGAACAGTTAACTGGGTCGGGGAGTCCCCGAACTATATTCCTTGCAAACACGAAACCAATCGCGACACCTTCGATGACCGAACGAACGACTCGGTGGCAATAACGGACGCTGGTTGTCGTATAGACGAGGGGTTTGAAGGTCGCGGAGCGGTGGAACGGTCTAGGAATCGAGGGGACAATGTTGCGGAGGACGACCATCGGTCTGGCCTCACCGGAACATCTTTCCTTTTATTGGCCATAAAAGCAATAATGCAATACCATACGATACGCATGCCGATGCTCAAGTACGACAAAACGATACAAATGCCTAGATTTCTCAGTACCTTCCTTCCTTCCTTCCTTCCTTCCTTCCTACTTAACTTCCATCCTCTGTCTCTCCTCGATACGATTGTTTCGGTAACAATAAAATTATTCTTCTTAGGTCTTTACAATAGTTATTACAATAAATAAATAAAAAGCAATATTTTGTATAGCTCTCATAGTGTTCTTTCCCATGCAAATGTTATAATATAGAAATTACAATTTATAAATGCGCATTACGGAATGCGACTATCGCAAGAGTTTTCTTTTTAATTTCGCACGGCAGAACGAGGGAATTAAAGCGACGAGCGACGGATGAAACGATAATCGTTTGAGACCTATTCTTTCTCAACTCTCTCCGGTCCGCCAAGCTCATTTCGCGCTGTTTAAAAATCTCATGAAGGCGAAACAAAGGACGAGGCGCGAGCGTTCGGCATTAAACGGCTCTCGAAGGACGCGCCAACGGGGGGACGTAGTGGAAGGCGCAAATCCGGGACGAGGAAGAGCGTCGTGATGACGTCTCAATTCCCCCGGAGTCAGCCTTTAAAAAAGCCGAGGGAAAGATTCTTATCAGAACGTTTCGCCTCGACCGGCCTAATTTACTTATGCTCCTCCCTTCGGGGCCTATTTACAAGTGCAAAATTGCTTACGTCCCTTTTTCTCCCAACGATCTTGGGAACTCGTTCTTCATTTGTTCACAGATCTGAACTTGTTTCAATATGCATGTAATATACACCGGCCGTTAATAACAATTATTTCCTTTTTATTTTAAAAAATATTGCGCTTTTATTAATAATAATTATAATATCATCTCCATTAAAAGAATTAATAAAGCTAAATCAGACTTGCGTAGATACAAAGAATCAATATAATTAAATAGGAACATATAACAAATAATTATTTACTTTTTTATAGTAAATATATTTATTTATTTTTTAAAGTAAATATTTACAAATAAATATTACAATATTTTAAAGTAAGTGTTACAAATAAATATTTACTTTTTATATATACGTATATAAAGAATATTTTATCTATGTAAAATTTCATATGGAACTATTTCGAAATACTTTTTTAAATCAAAAATATGAAACTTGAAATATAATATAGTAATTAAAAAAAAAATTAAAATTTAGTAAGCTAGACTTTATGATAAATTTTCTATTAATTATTTAAATATTGTTTTATTATAACTAGATAACGACATATGAAGAATCATTTAACATATTAATATTATACAAAAGTTTTATTATAACAGTTTTATTATTACATTCGCAAGCGCGCTTTGTGCGTGATATTTAGTATTTTGTTTTATATTTTTTTATTACTATACTTTAGTGCATAAACACTTTAATGCATAAAATACATATCACATACATACATATTGCTATTAACTATCTTTCTATACACAAAGAGCATTTTTACTGACTTTTCATAATATACAAAAACTTTGTTTACAAATAGCATATATAAAAGTACGAACATTTCGTGTATAGGGTAATTATGCGTCTCAATGTATATCAATTTATATCAATTTTTTAAAATGTTATAAATCTATATAACATAAATTTATATAGATAAAAAAGACAGTCAGATAACCAGTCCAAATAATTAAGCACAACCTTGGCATAAAACAGGACACAGTTGGAACAAGTTTTTATCATATTGCAATAATTTCGTTTGGACAATCTAATCTAAAGGCATTATGCGGACATTTTCTGCGCAAGCGAGCAAAAATAGCGTAACTTATTGCCATAAAAGTTGCTAAAATCTGATGGAAATTGTTTTTTCATCAGAAATATTCTATTCATCTAAAATATTAAATTTTTCTACGTGTCTCTATGATTTGAATGAAAATGTGCTTTCTTCACTAAAATCAGTCACTCGCATGAGCAGTACGCGGCATTGCCACTGCAAGATGGACACGGCGCGGGCGGGTTATAATTTCTTGTAAGAATCATACAGGGAATAGAATAAAAAGCGTATTTTACTTATCTCCAATGTTGTACGATCTTATCCTTAGGTTTTTAAATCGTTTCCTAATCGATACATAACTTTGGTATATAATTTAATTAATCGTTAAAGATTGTTACTGATGAGTATCGAAAATTATGTCAATTGGAAATATTAAAGAACGTAAGTGGCAAGACGTTATAAACAGATAAAAGACAAGATGACGTGTGACTGAACGTTAAATAATTCTTCACCTGTTCGCTACCAGTTTTAATTGCTTTTAATTGAGCAGCCACTGAAATATATGTACGCATGTAATTATTATTTTTTATTACGTTATAGAAATCATTGACACGCTTTGTACGCGATTTAACTTTTCAGTGTTTACGTTTTATTACACTTGCTTAAATGCTTGAATACTTAATGTATATAATTGATATTAAACTGTTATTATTACTATTAATCCCTCGATATGTAGTACAACTGTCAAAATATACAATGACAGTCGATCACGAAGTAATCGCACCGAAACAATCGAAGAAAAGAGGTGAAAATATTTCGATAGATTCGAGTTTTAGAATAGTTGAATCTCTTTAATTGCTACAACATATAAAACAATTTTCTTATTTATTTCTTACGTTGACTCATTTAGTTGAATAAAGAAATTTGGTTGGATCAATTAAATTTTTTAGTCGTATATATGAGCAATTAAATTCTTTGGTTGAAGTATAATAAAATATGATGTACTGTATAACAATATAGTTGGAAAATTTGTTAATATCTATTAATATAAAAATTAGTATAGTGAACAAATTATTAATTGTATGAAACTAAATTTTTGGTTGGTATTTTATTGATTAGATTGAACACTGGTATATTAAAATTGCTGAATTTTATTGTTACTTTTTTGTCGATTCTAACCGAAATAGAGTGTAAAAAGTTTTACAACTGATATAAGAAACTGTTAATTCTGGTCGAGATAATTACAAAGACCCTAAAAAAGGTCAGGGAGAGCTCATTTTAATACAAGTTTTAATAAAGTATTAAAAAAATGTTACACTTTATGTGCATCGAGCATAATAACAAGTATCAGAGTCAAGGGCAGGAACACGGATTTTTGCACAATGGACAACGCATAACATATAAAGTATAATAAAATCGATCAAAGTAATTTTTTTCGTGGAAAAGAAGGATTTTAATTCATTTTCTTATGCATTATACGTTATGCAAGATTCTATGCTGTATCCATGACAATTAGACTACAGATTTGTGCTTACGATTGACAGTTACAGCGAGTTAGTGAGTCTATCGTGACTGGCTAAAATAAGT